AAGGGTGTGTGGACGAGGTTAAAACTTACTAAGATAGGACTGAAAAATATTAAGAGTAGTCACTGGATCGAAGAAGGGGTGGGTGGGCGGGGCTACTACTTACTCATAAAACTGTGTATTTTTCGTTGTAAGTATTGTAGAATGCCACTTTCATGTTTATTTATTTGTGTGCTAGGGTCCAATAAAATCGTCACAATTCTTTTCAGTTTCTTTTCATCTGCTGGAACCACAGATCGTCTTTTTGCCCTTTTTTCAACAGTGTTCAAGAGATTCATAGATAAAACTATCTTGTATTTTCATGGTAGATAATAGTTTTCTTCAATGAAGTGGCCTTCAATCTTTTCAATCTTTTGGTAATTGTCGACACGCTCTTTAGAATATCATCCATCTAAAGAGCAAATCTGGTTTTGCTTACTTCTTACTTTGAGGGCTTTTTGTTACTGTCATGTTGAACCCATTTTCTCTCTAGGACGATCTATGTTGTGCCGTCTTGTAAAAATTTCGGTTTTCGGTTCTTCTTTTTCTTCCTTCCATATCTTTTGTCTCCTCTACTGGTTATGTTTTATTTATTCCTTCTTTACTCGTTTAGTTCGTCTTATGTCTAACCAACAGACTTCTAGAAATCACAGGTTGCATGGTCATACTTTTCTCCCGTATTTTATAACTTCCTCGACTCCTGTCAATAAACTTTCTTCAGTACTATCAACATGAGAATAGTTCTTCTCTGTATGATTTGAATTCTAGTTAACAATCAATTACGGTTTTAAAATGTTCTAGATTCCTCGGCATAGCTATTTTCACATTTCCTTAACAGCTGCCTTACTCTGCACTACAAACATTTTCGAACTGAAAGTTCTAAAAGTACAACGTCTCTAATCAAGATTCTTCTATAGCTGTAACTACTTATAATTCTTTTTACCCCTGTGTATTTTTCGTTATGTGTACAACACAGTTGTCAAGATTTTTTTAGTTTCTTTCCATTTGCTGGAACCACAGATTTTCTTTTTACTTTTTTTTTCAACAGTGTTCAAGAAATTAATAGATAAAACTATCTTGTATTGTCTTGGTAATAACTTTCTTCAATGAAATGGCCTTCAGTTTTTTAATGATTGACAACAAGCTCTTTACAATGGCCTTCATCTAAAGAGCCCATCTGGTTTTGCTTGCTTTTTATTTTTAGGGCATTCTATTGCTGTCATATCCAAAATTGGATCATCTTGAAACCATTTTCTTCTTAAGATAATCTATGTTGTGTTGTCTCCTAGGAATTTCATTCTTGTGTTTTTCTTTTTCTTCCTTCCATATCTTTTGTCTTCTCTACTGATTATGCTTCATTATTTCTTTCATTGCTTGTTTGGTTGGACTTTATGTTTGACCAGTAGACTTCCAGAAATCACAAGTTTCATGGTTATATGTACTTTTCTCCCAGGTTTTAAAACTTCCAGGACTTCTGTCAATGAACTTCTTTCTTCGGTACTATAACCATGAGTTTTAAATAGTTCTTTTCTGCATGATTAGTATTCTAGTTAATAGTCATTTACGGTTTTAGAATATTCAAGATTCTCTCAGGTTTGCTATTTCACCTTTCCTTAACATATGACGTACTCTGCACTACAAACAGTTTCCAGAATAGCCTTTTCTTTAACGGAAAGTTCTAAAAGTACAACGTTTCTAATCTAGATTTTTCTATAGATTTAAGTATTAATAATTCGTTTTAATCTTATGTATTTTCCGTTATGAGTATTGTATTGTTTTTTTGCCATCTGCTAGAACCACAGATCTTCTTTTTACCCTTTTTTCGGCAGTTGTTTTTCCCAAACAGAATTTCTTCTTTCTTCAATTCATCTTCAGTCATTCTGATTTATGGTCTCATTAATCTGCTTATGACGATAATTGTAAGAAAAATTTTTGAATTTATGTTATTACCGGAACTCCAATTGAAACAGGTTATAAAGGGTGGTTTTTTCTTTAGTTTCTTTAAATTACTAAACTGAGTGTATGATTTTGCATACCATTACAGTACTGCGTTTCACATTCTATGGGGTCATATTCGAAAGTGGATCATACTGTAACTGTCTTCTCTTTCTACCTTATAGACCTCCGAATTTGCTAAATCAATTTCTGTATTTTCTTCTTTTTTTCTTCTTCTTTTCACACATTTTTTTTCTTCTACTGATTATGATTTATCATTTCCTATTCGTGCGGTCAACAGGCTACCAGAAATCACAAATTTCATGGTTATATTTTTCTCTCATGTTTTAGAATTCCTGGACTCCTGTCAATGAACTTTTTTCTTAGACACTATCACCGTGACATTTAAGTAGTTCTTCTTTGTGTGATTAAGATCCTATTTCACAGTCATTTACGCGTTTAGAATGTTCTAAATTTCCTACTCAGATCTCTACGCTACAAATATTTTTCACAGTAGCCTTCTTTTCGAACGAAAAGTTCTAAAAGTACTACGTTTCAAGATTCTTCTAACGCTTTAACTACAAGTAATTAATTCTTTCTGCCCCTGCGTATTTTCAAAGTAAATTTCGTTCTAATGAAGTGGTCTAGAACCTTCACAAAACTTAGTTAATTATCTTTTTTCGTAAATTCTGATTCTCTATGGGAATTAAAATTTTTCTGTTTTTCTCATAGGATCTTCTTGAATTTACTTCAGATACTTAAGTTTTTTTTTTCAAATAATTCATGCTTAAGTCTTTTTTCTTTTCCTGCCTCCAAACAGATTTTTTGCTGCCTCTTTTTTCTCCAAATCGTGTTTTTCTCTTCGAAGTTGCCATTCGTTAAATTACCCTATTCTAATACTTCCTCAGCCTTACGTTTGCGAGTAAGAATGTTAAGGGAATTTAATTTGTATATTCCGTTCAATATTTTCTAATTTTGTATGATAAAACGGTTGAGAAAAAAGTATGAACGGATGGAAAGAATATTTCAAAGTTGCTGGAAGAAAATGAAATAAAAGTTTTATAAATACGCTTCTTATAAAAATACCTTCACAATCAATGAAATTTCTTGTATTGTATCTTGTATTATTCAGTTTCGGCGATAAATGTGTTCTTAGTTGGTCCAACAATTCGTCAACATTCGTTACAATGTAACAATATTTCAACAAAACTCTAGAAATCAAAATTTGAATATTCGTATCCTCTTATTTGTGTACAATAAGCAAAATAAGAAGCATTTACACTTAAGACAGTTTTCTCATTACTGCTAGATCCTCTTTTAACTTCCGATTTTACCTTTACCTTACAACTAATAACTGATTCAGAAATACCCGTCTTCGATCGAAGAACGCAATAAACATATGAGTACAACACGAACCTGGCTCGCTCCACGACATTTGAAGTTTTAAAATTGCATTGTCCTCGTCAACATCGTTCAAACTCCTATCGATCTAACATTTCGTCTTTTTCGGTCAGTGATTTCTTTAATAAAAGATGTTGTATGCACATGCCGTCCTATGTCTAATGCATCATCCCTCGTCAGTTTTCTATAAATACGCTTCTAGGAAGGGAATCAGGATTAATTATGAAATGAATCCTCCGGTAATCAATCGCGGAACTAATAACGAACAAAGCGTCCTCTGGTGGACAATGCGATAAGCCCCGTCTTGCTCCGGTCTCATTGTCATTAAACAATATCATAGTTGATACAATATGTGCCGCTGGAGCAGCCATTATGTCACGTATAAGTCGATTGGCCATTGTCCTCGAGCTTTTGTTCTTTATATTAAGGAAGAGGACTTCCACTAGTCGCCACTTAAGGCATAAAGGCGATTTTAAGGGTGTTTGGGCGGTTTAAAAAAGTTTTACGAAGGAGGTCATTTTAGGGTACTTGACAGGACGAGTAATAACAGGCGCAAGATTGCGGGAATTTTCTTTTTATCTTGCAGCAATGAGATTGGTAAAAAAGTGGCTTTCTTGTCTTTTCTAGGAGCAATATAAGCTGCGATGAAGGAACCAAAGTAAAACATGGTCTGCTATTTACTTTTTGTTTTTTTTGTGGTTAATATATTGCAATAATTACAGTAAATTAAATCATTTTTAATAACAATAATCACAAACTATGTTAATTAAAACAGACTCGAAATGTCGATGAAAGTGTACAGAGGAAAGCAGCTGCAGAGGTGGGATTGAAAAATGTGGGGTAGAAAAGTAGATGAAGAAATTAGGGTTAGGAGAACGGGAGAAAAATTCAGACAAGTAGAAGTTCTAAAAGAATTCAACTGTGATTAGAGAGAAGGTAAAATTGAAAGGTTGAAAAGAAAATGTCTAAAAATATAGCTTTGACTTTGATGCTGGGAGATAACAGGTTAAAGGCAGCAGTGAAATAACATGAATTGAAGAAAATTTCAAAAGAATTCTAATCCAAAAAATAAGAACCAAAGGATTTTCAACGGCAGCACAATATTGAAAGAATAAAAGATAAAATTTTGTGAAAGTTTTAGGACATCTCATTGGGAGAAACATTAGAGAGCCTCAACACAGACAGACATACAGGGTGTTCCAATGATCTGTTAGCGAAAGGTGATGATATGATGAGATGATATCTGTAAAGAGATAAAAATTTTAGTTAGACTAAGGAAGAGCGAAATAACACAGAGACGACACAGCAAAAAGAGACTTCAAAAATCAAGATTAAGTTGAAGATTAAGGTGAAGATTAAGATAAAGACTGAGATAAAAACTAAGACGAAACATAAGATGAAGGCTAAGAAGAAGACTGAGATGAAGACCAAGTTGAAAACTAAAATGAAGACTAAGTTGAAAATTAAAATGAAGACTAAGATGAAAACTGAGATGAAGATTAAGATGAGGAGTAAGATGAAGACTATGATGAAAATTAAAATGAAGACTAAAATGAAGATTAAAATGAGGACTAAGATAAAGATTAAGACAAGGACTAAGAAGAAGACTAAGATAATGGCTAATTTTAAAGACTAAGATAAAGACTACAATGAAGGCTAAGGTGAAGACTAATATAAATACTAAGATAATGGCTAAGATAAGGACTAAGATGAAGATTAAGATGAGGAATAAGATGAAGACTAAGATGAAGACTAAGATGAAGACTAAGATGAAGACTAAGGAGAAGACTAAAATAATGGCTAAGTTAAAGACTAAAATGAATACTAAGATGAAGGTTAAGATGATGACTAAAATGAGGATTAAAATGAGGACTAGGTTGAACACAAAAATGAAGACTAAGTTGAAGTTTAAAATGAAGACTAAGATGAAAACTGAGATGAAGATTAAGATGAGGACTAAGGTAAAGACTAAGATGAAGACTAAGATCACCACTAGGATGAGCACTAAGATGGAGACTGCAATGAAGGCTAAAATGAAGACTAATATAAAGACTAAGATGAAGACTAATATAAAGACTAAGATAATAGCTAAGATAAGGACTAAGATAAAGACTAAGATGAAGGCTAAGGTGAAGACTAATATAAATACTAAGATAATGGCTAAGATAAGGACTAAGATGAAGATTAAGATTAGGAATAAGATGAAGACTAAGATGAAGACTAAGATGAAGACTAAGATGAAGACCAAGATGAAGACTAAGATGAAAACTAAAATGAAGACTAAGACGAAGATCAAGATAAGGACTAAGAAGAAGACTAGTATGAAGAGTATGATAATGGCTATGTTAAAGGCTAAGATGATGACTAAAATGAAGACTAAGATGAAGGCTAAAATGAAGGCTAAGGTGAAGATTAAACTCAAGACTAAAATGAGAACTAAGATGAGGACTAAAATGAAGACTAAGATGAAGATTAGGATGAAGACTAGGATGAAGACTAGGATGAAGACTAAGATGAAGACTAAGGAGAAGACTAAAATAATGGCTAAGTTAAAGACTAAAATGAATACTAAGATTAAGGTTAAGATGATGACTAAAATGAGGATTAAAATGAGGACTAGGTTTAACACTAAAATGAAGACTAAGTTGAAGATTAAAATGAAGACCAAGATGAAAACTGAGATGAAGATTAAGATGAGGACTAAGGTAAAGACTAAGATGAAGACTAAGATGAAGACTAAGATGAAGACTAAGATAAAGACTAAGAAGAAGACTAGAATGATGACTAACAATATGACTAAAATGAAGATGAAGACTAAGATCACCACTAGGATGAACACTACGATGGAGACTGCAATGAAGGCTAAGATGAAGACTAATATAAAGACTAAGATGAAGACTAATATAAAGACTAAGATAATGGCTAAGATAAGGACTAAGATAAAGACTAAGATGAAGGCTAAAATGAAGACTAAAATGAAGACTAAGATGAAAACTGAGATGAAGATTAAGATGAGGAGTTAGATGAAGACTAAGATGAAAACTAAAATGAAGACTAAAATGAAGCCTAAATTGAGGACTAAGATGAAGACTAAGATAAGGACTAAGAAGAAGACTAAGATAATGGCTAATTTTAAAGACTAAGATAAAGACTACAATGAAGGCTAAAGTGAAGACTAATATAAAGACTAAGATAATGGCTAAGATAAGGACTAAGATGAAGACTAAGATGAAAGCTAAAATAAAGACTAAGTTGAAGATTAAAATGAAGACTAAGAAGAAAACTAGATGAAGATTAAGATGAGGAATAAGATGAAGACTAAGATGAAGACTAAGTTGAAGACTAGGATGAAGACTAGGATGAAGACTAAGATGAAGACTAAGAAGAAGACTAAGAAGAGGACTAAAATAATGGCTAAATTAAAGACTAAAATGAATACTAAGATGAAGGTTAAGATGATGACTAAAATGAGGATTAAAATGAGGACTAAGTTGAACACTAAAATGAAGACTAAGTTGAAGATTAAAATGAAGACTAAGATGAAAACTGAGATGAAGATTAAGATGAGGAGTAAGATGAAGATTAAGACGAAGACTAAGATGAAGACTAAGAAGAAGACTAAAATGATGACTAAGATAAGGACTAAGAAGAAGACTAAAATAAAGACTAAGATAATGGCTAAGTTAAAGACTAAGATGAAGACTAAGAGAAAGGCTAAGATGTTGACTGAAATGAAGACTAAGATGAAGCCTAAAATAAAAGCTAAGGTGAAGATTAAAATTAAGAATAATATGAAAACTGAGATGAAGATTAAGATGAGGACTAAGACGAAGACTAAGATGAAGACTAAGATGAACACTAAGATGAACACTAAGAAGAAGACTAAAATGATGACTAACAATATGACTAAAATGAAGATGAAGACTAAGATCACCACTAATATGAACACTAAGATGAAGATTAAGATGAAGGCGAAGATGAAGACTAAATTGAAGACCAAATTGAAAAATAAAATAAAGTCTAAGTTGAAAATTAAAATGAAGACTAAAATGAAGACTAAAATGAGGACTAAGATAATGGCTAAGATAAGGAATAAGATGAAGACTAAGATGAAAGCTAAAATAAAGACTAAGTTGAAGATTAAAATGAAGACTAAGATGAAAATTGAGATGAAGATTAAGATGAGGACTAAGATGAAGACTACGATGAAGATTAAGACGAAGATCAAGATAAGGACTAAGAAGAAGACTAGTATGAAGACTATGATAATGGCTACGTTAAAGGCTAAGGTGATGACTAAAATGAGGATTAAAATGAGGGCTAAGATGAAACCTAATATGAAGGCTAAGATGAAGATTAAAATGAAGATTAAAATGAAGACTAAGATGAAAACTGAGATGAAGACTAAGAGGACGACTAAGATGAAGACTACGATAAAAGCTGGATGAAGGCTAAGAAGAAGACTAATATGAATACTAAGATGAAGATTAAGATGAAGATCATGATTGAAATGAAGAGTAAGATGAATTCTAGGTAAAAATGTGCGGTACTGAGGTTGTATGTTCTAATTGTTTTTTAACATAAAATAATCATCAAATAAATATTAATCGAACTAGTGAAAAGACAGATTTTAGAGTACTTTGTTATTAAAGTATGTTCTTAGAAAGCATACACTTCTAATACCGCAAAGGACACGTCAAGGATAAGTATTGATTACAATTTATAGGAAAACTTGTAATCCTTCTAAAATACCTACGTATTTTCCATACCGTAAAACTAATAGCAAATAAATATTAACGATTCGCAATTAAACTAAACACCCAGCTGATACAGCGTTAAATTCAGGATCCTTTATGAGATGGACACGACGTGGACTTCCAGGTGATGCTAAATGATTCACATTGCTTAATAATGCATTTGCTAATTGTAGCGTGGGAGCACGAACGTCATACACCAGGAATTACAAGTGTGAAATTCTTGGAAGTGGTGTAGATATTGATTAAGGAGGTACCGGGGATAATGCTAGGTGCAGTCTTGTGTAGTCCCAGAGGATTTCAAGCGTGCTGCAGCAATTGAAAAATGTGTTAAGTTCGGTTAAGCTCGCTGTAAAAATACTTGAGGGTTTTTGCAATGATGGTTCGAGTCTGAGGGGTGTTATTATTTTTTCTTGGTATTGGCGTGCGTGCTGTCTTACGTAGGTTGTAATTTCGAGTGCTTAGTCACTCAGCGCAACTGCATACAACGGTTACTACCGCAAAAGACAAGTTACTTAAAAATGTATAAGTTTTCTTTTGATGGAAAATTTTGAGTTATTTTTTTTAATGCTTAGTGTATGTTTTTGAAAAATGTGGTTGATTACATTTATACAGAAAATTTGTCGAAGGTTATTTTAACAGAACTTTCATCGACTCTGACGGCAGCCCAATAAATCCTGGTTCTTTGAAAAAATATAAAAATTGTTTGCGATTTTTGTTTTTTTTTTATAACCTCTATCAACTAAAAATCAGTGGCCAAAAAACACTCCTGCCGCTTTTTTGACTTGAATTTTCCAATTCCTCAATTTTTCATTGTTTTTGTTTCTTCAGTTTTTCGATTTGCAATTTTTCGAGTTTTTAAGTTTAAATTTTTCAGTTTTTCAATTTTCCAACTTGAATTTTTAAATTTTTAGATTTTGCAATTTGTGGACTTGGAATTTTTCCTGTTTAATGTTTCAATTTTTCCTGTTGGTTCTTCTTTTTCTTTATTTTTTCAATTATTCGATTTTTGAGTGTTTCGATTTTACAATATTATGTTTCTACAATTTTAATTTTTCCGTTTTTTCGTTTCTTCAATTTTTCTACGTGCAGCTTTTCGATTTATTTTTTTTTGCTCTTTCAGTTTTACGATGAGTTTTTATTTAAATTTTTTTCTTTTTCCAAGTTTTGGACGTTTCACTTTTTAGATTTAAAAAATATTGCGATTTGCAGTTTCACGAGTTTTCAATTTTTTGATTTTTCAGTTTTTCATATCTGAATTTTTCAATTTGCGATTTTTTGTTTCGGTTTGTTATTTTCTTTATTTCTTCAATTTTTCGATTTTTCAGTGTTCTGATTTTATAATTTTTCTTTTAGTCATTGCGAAATTTTCCAATTTTTCATGTCTTTAATTTTGGATTTGTAATTTTTTTTAGTTTTCATTTTAACTATGTTATAATAAATTTTAAAATTTTTAATTTTTTCGATTTTACTATTTTTGATTATTAGATTTTAAAACTTTTTCATTTATTCGACCTTCCAAGTTTTCGATTTCTAATTTTTCAGTTTTTTGATTTTCCAATTTTTGATTTTTCAATATTCAGATTTTTGAATTTTTCGTTTTTTTTCAATTCTACATTTTTCAGTTTCGCGATTTTTCAATTTTTTGTTTCTTCAATTTTGGATTTGCAATTCTTCTAGTTGTCATTTTAAATACGTAATCATAATAATTCTTAAAATACTTAGTTCACATTTTAAAGTTAACGATTTTTGAACTTTTCCATTTTTCAATTATTGGATTTTTTGGATTTGGATTTTTTTATTTACTCAATTTTTCAATTTTTCGATTTTTAATTTTTTAAACTTTTCGATCTTTCAGTCTTCAGTTTTTTCGACTTTACAGTTTTCGAATAAAAAAAGTGGAAAAATTTGTCAAACTGAAAAATCAAAAATGAAAAAACAAAAAAGTATAAAACGAAAACTTTGAAAAATCTAAAAACTGTAAATCAAGAACTTGAAAAATTGAAGAAACGAAAATTAAAAATCGAAACATTAATAGAACTTGAGAAACCTAAAAATCCAAAAAGTGCAAAATGCAAAGAATAAAATATTGATGAGAAAATCGGAAAAATGGAAACTGCAAAACTTAAAAATTTTAAAATTTTAAAATTGGAAAATCGAGGAATTGAAAAACCAGAAATTGAAAATTTGAAAAATTGAATAAACGAAAAATTATAAAATCGAAAGAAACATTGAAAAAATAAAGGAAATAAAAAACAAAAAATCGTGATTTCAAATCAAGAAAATGAAAATAAAAAAAAACTGGGAAAATGTAAAAAAGAACAAGAGCTTGAAAATTTTGAGAAACTGAAAATCGAAAAATGAATATTTATAATATCGAAAAATTGCAAAATTGAAAAACTGCAAATCGAAAAATGGAAGAATCGAAAGTCGAGAAATTGAAAAATAAAAAATTAAAGCAGAAAAAATGAAAATTTATGAAACCGAAACATTGAAAAATGGAAAACTTGAAAAATTAAGGAAACTGGAAAAACGAAAAATTGCTTTAAAAAAATTTATCGAAGATAAACCCAGATTTGTCGAAAACTTATAAGATATAATTTAACGAATTTTATGTTTTCATGATAACCCTTATAAGTTAAAATAAAGATATGTACGTCATGTTGAAAAAATAGGAGAAAACGAAAAATTGTGATATAAAATCAACAAAATAAAAATTAAAAGATCGGGAACTGAAAAATAAAATTACAAATTTGAAAAATTGCAGAAATAAAAACTGAAAAATTGAAAATTAAACATTGAGGAACTGAAAATTGAAAAATGAAAAACTGTCATACCGAAAAAATTGCAGAATTGAAAAACTGCGAATTAAAAAATGGAACAAACGAAAAACCTAAAAATTTGGAAGTCGCCTAATTGAAGAACTGAAAAAATTAAAGTTGAAAAAACGTAAAACTATCAAACCGAAACATTGAAAAATGGAAAAATTAAAAAAACCAAAAATTGTGATTTCAAAAAGTTGGTCGAAGGTAAATGAATCCAGATTTTTCAAAATATTGTAAGATTTAATTTTGGGAATTTCATTATTTTTCGCTACACTATTATTTCAAGTAAGTTTTTCCATTGCAAAATTTTGTGATGACGTCATAAATATTTTTTAAAGGACGCGTATATTACTAACAGATATAGTGTAATATTAATATTAGCTGTACTGTGGTTCCAAATTATCGAGTCGTGAGCTGTCTAGCCCTTTCATTATATAATTTTGGAATCACCCTATATATAGATAAATAATTCTAAAGACTATGAGTTTCTTATGCAAAATTTTGATATCACGTCATCGACTGACGATTTACCATGTTTACTATAACCTTAAAATATTTCAGATCATTCGGTAAGCAGTTTCAATATTAAATTGCAAAATGTTATAGCATTTTGATTTTTTTTTCCAAAAATCTGAATCTCTAGGGTGAAAACTCAACACGGATTCATGCACCACAAATGCAGTAGTACCTTATTTTCTAAATATAAAAACAAATTTACTGTTGTTTTGTTAGCGTTTTACCAACTACATACCTACCTAATAAGTAGGTATACGTCCAAAATTTGACAACAATCGCTCCAGTAGTTTCGAAGATTATCTGTCTAATAAAAATCTGGACAGACGGCAGACAGACAGACGGAAATTTCCTTGACTTACGCTCGGGAAATCAAAATGTATTAAGTTTTGTCGATGAAAAATTTTAACTAAATTTATGCTTCTTGCATATTTTTGAAAAATGCACTAACTTCATTGCGTGTTTGACTTTTTGGAATTTATCTGTTTTTTAACCATATTTTAACAATCTGGCAGTTTTAATTTAGATACTTTTTTTATAAATAAATTTTAAAGTTTCATGCACTTTTCATTTCCGTTTATTTGAAGAAAAATAAACGAATTAAAAATATGACAATAACAGTAGTGCTTCTGGAAGCTTCCAACATGTTCATTCTTATCAAGGTTTTTATTTTTTGAATATTAGAATGAAGTAATTTTGACATCGTATAATAAATGATTTATTTTTTAAGAGATAAAATATTTAAAAAATTGGAAGAGTATGTATACTTATTATATCAAATAATCAAAAAGCGGAACCTGGTTAAGAATTATTCGAAAATAACACGATGAACATCTGTCAAAGAATGGTGACTCCATTTGCACTTTTAAACTTTGACAAGCAGTGTCAAAACCTGGCCTAAATAACCCAAGTAGTACACGATTTAACTATTAAGCACGTCAGTCCGTTAAAATAAATACCACGATTTTAAACCGACAAACCTACACAAATACAATCTTACAATTTTTTAAAATCACAGATCTCCTAGCTCTAATTTTAAGCACTTCCTTTTCCATCACAACAAAGTTTCCGCATCAACAACACTAACAACATCTCATACTTTTCCAGACAACTCCAAATGCCGTTCTAATCTCGCGTAAAGCTGCAACTTCCTGAAAAATCCGGCATTTAATGCGGAAATTATAATGCGTCCCAAGCCCCGAGATGCACCCAGAGCGGCAATTTGGGCGCGCTTTGGCGGCGGCGTCGCAATCCTCGCTCTCCACCGCCGCTGGCGGCGCTATGAAAATTCCAAGTGCCGCCGTCAGCGCGAGTGAAAGCCGACTGAAAACTCGCACTGGCCTGAAATGAGTGAGG